TGTGTGTGTTAATAAAGAGAGGGGATTTAGAAATATGAAGTGGTGTGAGAAGGGGAAGTTTTTTAGGGGTTATTCCTGCACTCTGGGCCAAGCAATGACATTTTCTGCTTACTTGGATTAAACAAACTTGTCAATTGCTTTGAGCAATTTTCAAGTTTGCACTGCTGGAAATGGCTGTTAAATGCAACTCTGAACCACAATGAAAATTCTCCTATTTTAGAGACTGATCATTACAAACATTGACAATTGACATTGCCTTGGGTGTTTTACTGCTAAGAGGAAAAAGAAAGCAAAGCAAGCATCTGAGCACATTTTTTATCAAATCAGTGGTAGATTAGGGAACAATTTTTTAAATAGACATAGAAATTTTCTTTGTGTGGAACAAAATTACTTGAAAATAAAGAAATTTTTTGAGAGTGAGCTGGTAATAAAAATTGTTTCCATTTTCCATGTGAAAAGATGATATTTAAACGTGACTCATTTAATAATTAATGAGTCGCAGCAAACATTTTAATTAATTAAACAGCAAGCATTTTTCAGTATTCTCCCTGGTTTCCTTTCCAAGCATCCTGTACAATTGTTGTCTCAGTTTATCTCTTACCAAGGAACTCAAGCAATTTTTTTTTTCCCTCTTTAAATGTGTACCCAAACAAAACACGGCCTCATTCCCTGCACCATCACACTCATGCCCAGATTCTCTTGCTCAGCTGTTCAGGTTTCAGAGGAACCTACAAAATGACAAAGTGTTTTCTAATGCAGGGGTCTTCCAAACAAAAATCATTCATGTATAATGTAAGAATTCCTGAGACTGTATAGTAGAGAAAAAACTTCTTTTCAAGAGAGAAGCTTCTCAAGGAGGAAAATCATTAGACAAATAAAGGCAAATAAGACATTCAGACTGCAGGAGGAGAGCAATCCAGATAAGCTGATTAGACAAATTTAGCTGAAAGCCTACACTCAATTACAATTACTATAGTTAGGACAGTGAAGATACAGAGAAATGGACAACTTTTAACTGAAGCATGCTGTCTTCTTTATAAATAGTAATTTTGCAGTTGCTCAAGTAATCACTCTCAATATTATTAATAAAAACACCATAACAACATCAAAAGACATTAGTCAGGTTTCTGCCATGCTGAAAATATATTGACAACGCTGATTCAGCAACTACAAAGTTTATATGTAGGGAAGATTAAGATTCAAGTTGTCAAATGTTTTCAGTAGTAAAGAAGCCTACATCCTTTTAGTTATATTTAACCCAAACTAACAAAAAATATATGGATGGTTTTTTCAGTGTTAGGACAATCACATCTCCTAAAAAAAGTATCTCATCTTTTAATCTAACACCTGATGCAGTAGGACCTGGCCATGCTCAAAGCAGGACCAGCTAGAGCAGGGGGACACTAAATCCTCTATGGGGAGCATGCTCCAAAAAATTATTTCTTGCATTTAAATAGAATTTCCTGTGTTTCAGTTTGTGCCCACTGCCTCTTTTCCTGGGCAGCACTAAGAAGACTGGATACTTGTGAAGGCCAAGTATACATTAACCCTGAATGACACTCCAACAACATTTTACATTTTGGTAGTTCAATTAAAAAATTAGAATTTACAGTATTCAAAGCAGATATAAAGGAAGAAATGGAAACCATGTTTAATAGGCTTTTTCCAAAAACCACTTCAACCTCTCACACAGTCCTTAGTTTCAAGGCTTGTCAAGATGAGTTTGGGCAACTCTGATTTGGCTTGGTGCTCATGCTGTATGTGACTGAAGGATTTGTTAAGGCCAGTTAGAGTCTCAGCAAAACTTAAATTCCTACAGTCTGATCAAAAGGTGACTGACTGATCAAAGTAGTGACTCCTCTGCCATAACTGCAAAATGTTTGCCAGCCAGCAAAAAAGGGCTGTGCATTTTAATGAATGACCTCCCAAATCTTCTCTTTTCCCCCGTATAATGAGACCTTAAAGCAGTAAAATATTCCTCCTGAAAGCTTCTGAAAGCCTTTGGTTTAGAGATCCTCTTCTAACCAAATTTTGCTTCTCTCCATCCATCCATGGGACTGAGAATTATTGCTAGTAGTAGTAACAGTGTTGTTAAGCTTAGGAACCTCAGTAATGAGCAGGATTCTCTGTTACCCTGCTCCACAGACCAACTAACATTGTATGGATTTCAGCTAAAGAAAAAGAGGAAGAAGGTAAGTGCAGAAAGATGAGGAAATATAGGGATCTACATGCAAAAATTTGGAAATGTAACCCCACCTGTAACTTTTGCCTGGAAAGAACTGGAATGTGGTATTTGAAACTGTGTGACATGCTGTCTATCCTCCCAGGGGTGCACAACAGAGTAAATTTTAATTTTTTTTTTTTGTGATGGATATGGTGAATACTGATTCAGTCAGAAATGCAAATTGAAAGTACACAATCCATATAGAATAATCTGTCCTACCCCTTCAGTGAAGCCCAGAATGTGCTTGTTGTCAGATGCCATTTACTGAAATATCAAAGGTAATTCCAGCCATTATTTCTGAGTGGAGAGAAAGAGGATACTGAAAGTTTTCCTGGGACAATATGCTGCAGGCCCAAATATGCACCCAGACTGTGCAGCCTCTCTGCTCTTTAGGAATCTGAAGAGTATGGCCAAGACCTAAGCACAAAATCAGTCATTTTGGGTTACAGATTAATGCATTTCTCAGGTTACAGACTCCACATGCACTGATTGATGTTGAGTTGTAGTAATTACAAGGTCAAACAGTTTCTAATTTTTAGTCATTTTATATGAATAAAAATTAGAATTTACAGTACTCAAAACAGATATAAAGGAAGAAATTAAACACATATTTAATAGGCTTTTTCCAAAATTTACTTTAGGAAGAGTATCAGTACAAGGTGCAATATTTCTCTAGAATTTGCTGATTCACTACAAATTTTTTTCTCAGTTTTATTTTGTTTTGTTTTAGAAAAGTATTAGAAATGAAATTAATAATCAGGAAACACTAACACTTCCAGGACAGAAATTTATATTTAAATGTTTATGTTTGCCAATTATGAAATTAAACTGCAGTCTCAAACAGCCTAGGACTGCAGGTTTAAGTCCTTGTTCTGGTATAATCTTACTTATGATTTGAATTAAAGTTTACAGAGCTTGTATATAAATACTGTGAGTATCAATTAGGAAAAATAATTAAAATTGTTGAGGACATTTTATGTATTGAAAAATGCCAGATAAGAGACACTGCCTTCAAAGATATGTTAGATTGTTCATCTGGAATAAACTGTATCAGCTTTACAAATACTAGAAAATATTGCAAAACTGCTACTGTCAGCAGGAGCTGGCACGCACCTCTGTAAATCTGGATCTTCAGATTGAAGTTCTGTGCTGATAATGAATGAAGAGCAGTGTGTTAGCAGAAAAGGATCACAGTGGCTGCTTCCCTGAGACAGGTTAAGAAGATCTTCATCTGTAGACAGGAATGGTATACTCCTATGTGGAGTTTTAGGCCTTGGTTTTAGTTCCAAATTTCAGGCAATGAGAAGTGAACAATTAGTCAATACATGGAAGGGGGAAATGGCAAATGTTAGATGTCTAAAAATTCTTCCCTGATGAAAAGGCAAGTGTTATTGAAGTACCCTGACTGAAGGAGAATGCTGAAAAACTAAAGTTTCTTCTTAAAACACTTTAAACAAGATGGGAAAGGAAGAGATTTTTCCTTAATATATATTGTTGAAAGTAGAGGAACTGATGTTCTTTGCAGCAAGTTAGCAGTATGGTTTCTAATATGGAGTAGAAAATGTTGCAGGGAGTGAGAGCAGTCTCCAAGAAGCAGAGTGACAAAGTCTCAGAAATAAAATGGGTTCTGTTGACTTGATAGTGGATAGAGTGCAACAAAACCTGCTCATGCCTAGGTATAGGTAATTATCACAGAACTGTTGATTAAAGACCATCTGTGTGGACAAAGGAGGAATGTTGTATGCAATATACTTGACATTTCATGATATTTTTGGAACCCTCTCCCAGGTGGTTTTGTTTGGGATCAGGAGGCTCTTAGATATTTGAAAATTGTCTGCAGCACAGGGCCAAGGGGCTGTAGTCAACATCTTAGTGTCTGCAGACAACTGGTAATGAGAACAGTGCTCCAGGGCTGGTATTATTTAGTGTTTTCTGGAAAAACCTGGGTGCTGAGGCAGAATATACACTCTGCTAGTGTGGATAGCACAGAGGGAAGAAGGTTAGACAGGGCCAAATATAATGCTTTCAGACAAAAGAGATGCTAATAAACCTGAGCTATGGGCCGACAGAAATCTTGTGCAGTTTGTTGAAGAGAAGTGCCAAGGTGCGCACATGAAGGCACTTGGACGCCATTACCTCAGTATATCCAGGTGATGTTTGGTCTGACCTGGGCAGGACATGGACAGTGTGGTAAATGCCTTAACTGCTCTATCCTCAAGGACAAGCTGCTTTGTCCAGTGTGGAAACCCAGGGCACTGGGAATATTTCTCTGTCTGCTCTGGGGTGCCCTGACCCCCATGGCAGCACTGACTTTGACCCTCATTCATGGAGAAAGTTTCCTAGGCTTCAAGACAGACTAGAATCCACAAAAGTGTGAAATAGATTATAGAGAGTAGTGTAGGGATATCACTGGTGAGAAATTGAGATTTTGGGATTTTTAGTGTGTTGTGGATGGAAGCAAGATGGATGGCACAGGGTGTTGTCCTGGGTTTCTCCTTCATGCTCCTTCTTCCTCCTTCTTCATGGGTTTGGGTGGCATTTTGTGATTGGGCAGAAAAGTCCCCATTGCAGCTCTTTGGGATCAGTTATTGGGTTAAAAGGGAAAATAATTTAGGTGTCAGCTCTTAATTGGATAGTTTAGTCTTAAAAGACCTTGTAACAAGAGATTGTTGGCCATTTTGTACCATCTAATGAAAAGCTGCCAAACTCACAGTAGTGAGCCTGTTTAACTGATAAGAAATAATAAATACTTCGGTCCAAACATGAATTACTGTCTCAAGTGCCTTCAATCCAGCCCCTGAGAAACCAACAGCTGGTACTGCCACAGTCCAGGGCACGACCATAAACAAATCCCTAGAAGTGCCTGGGATTTTCAACTGGAATTTTTCTGTTTTCCAACCAAGTATTGCTGTAACAAGGACAGAGCACGGCAGCAGTGTCTGGAGTCCCTAACAAAAGGCAGATTGCCATTTTTCAGAGCTGGCTTCCTCCAGAAACACATAGCCCCAGACAGTATTCAATGAATTCCTGCAAGGATGCTCACATTAGTTTTGCACTTGGAAAATTATGCCCCAGAGAGACCATTTGGACAAGGCAGCCCTTCAGCTGCTTTTAAGTACTTACAGCCTGTAAGGGTTGGCAGAGCTCAGCTGAAACCGTGGTGCCCAGCCCAGCCCTGCACGAGCCCAGGCAACCAGAGGAGCTACTCAGCCTCAGCTGTGGAAAAAATGTGCTGCTCACAATTCCTCCTGGATTCCTCTTTCTGGCTTAGTCAAGGGACAGTGCACCATGAGATCTGTGCTGCTTCAATCAAATGCCAGTTTAGAAAGAGGAGAAAGGATCTGAGAGAAGCAAAGCTCCTGAGCATCCCTGTCAGCTGGGGTGCTGAGTAGCTGGTTTGTTCTTTGCTGTGTCTCTACCAGACTGCAGGAGCAGATTTCCATGGAGTGCTGCCGAGCTCAGAGCTCCACAGGACCACCCTGGAGCACTTGCTTGTTAGAGCAATCTTTGGTGTTTTCCTCAGAAAAGCCCAGAAATGTTATAGCTGTGGGCAGAATTTTCTCAGCATGGTTGCCCTTGCACCCCTTACAGGTTATTGACCCTGACCCTTCTCTCCCATATCCTATAAAAGCTTCATGTGAAGAACTTGGTTATTTCACTAATTTTCCAACACTCCAAACCTGATCTAGGAGTCCCTCCAGCTTTTTTTTTCCTGGATCTATTCAGCTATACCAGCTGTGCCAGCTGTGCAGTGAGCCTGCAAGATTTCAGCTGGTGCATGGAGCGATGTGGGTGAGGCCATGCAAGCCTTCCTCCCAGCAGGGACTCAGATAACATGCCCACTAGACAATTTAGGGAAGATTTTGCCTCTCTGTGGATCATCTGATGTGTAAGCCACTATGTGTGAGTGGCAAACTGCATCCTCAAAGGTCAGCCTATGCTGCTGGACCACAACAGAAGTCTTTTCTTGATTTATCAGTCCCTGTGTATTTTCTGAATTTGGCAGCAAAGGAAGCTGGAAACCGCCCAAGCCAGGGCTACAGCCCAAAATCTTATCTCTGACCAGCTGCAGTGGTTAAATAAAGAGATGAGAATGGGTCTCTCCACCTCTGACTCTGAATTAGCAGGGAAAGACAGGGAAAATACTAAATTAGTTATCAGTGCACCAGTCATTAAACAAAATTTGTGGTATTTACTAGTTTTCCTTGGAGAGCATAAAGCATTTCTGCACTTATGCTACTGCCAGAAAACTCCATCCAAATGGTAAATCCACACATGCAAATATTGATTTTTGTGCCTCAGTCTCAAAACCAAAGCTTTCTGTGCTCAAAACATTTCTTACCAAAATGATGTATGCTGGTCTGTTTCAGTAAGCACAGCTTCCCAGCCTGGCCTAGGTGCTGAACGGAAGGTGTGGTGTGTGGGCATGGGGGTACAGAGAACACAGACCACTGGGGTGGATTTAGCAGCTCAAGGCCTGCCAAAGAAGTCAGATTTTGTTCGGTTTACAGTCCTAGCTGGAGGCAGGGCCCATCTCCAGGCTGTGGGACTTGAGTACTCCCCATCCAGGCTCTTTCAGATATTACATGAGGAGGGTTTAATGTTTAATTTCAAATTTCCCTAATGAGCATATTTGATGTTAGATTGTGTTTTTAATTAGCAGAAGGACACTGCACTGAAATTACAGCCAAGCGTAATAAAGCATTTGCAACTGACAGCTGAATCACTGTAGAAACAAAATTCTCGTTACTGGTGTTTATATGCTCAACATCAGTTCTGTCCCCCTGCCCAGTCCCTGGGAGGGAATAGCTTGGTGGAAATCATCCCTAGCCTGTTGCTATCTCCAAACTTTTCCATTTGTTCCCCAGTTTTCACAAGTTATATTGGGCTGGTTCACGTGTACACGACCCATCCTCCTCACCCCTCCTTTTCATCTGGCTTGCTCAGGAAGAAGTCAGTTTTTGCTGATGCTCTGAGGAAATCTGATGACCCACTGGTGCAGCTCTCTTGTCTGAAGCCATGGTAATGCCTCCATCTCCCTGATGTTGAAATAAGCAGAGTTTTCTTTTCAGTGCCTTATTCCTCCAGCTCCTGATGGTTCTGCCGCTCTCCTCCGAGCTCTCCTCTCCTGTGGGAATATGCTGCTCCATCAATAATACTCAGGTTTTTAGTGCAAGGGAAGAGTTTATTTCTTTCCTCCAGGTGAGATCAGTGTTTCCAGCATGGCAGAGGACCAGGGCATGAACACCGAGCAAAGCAGGATCTGTACAGCCTGCCTCATCCACAGAGAGCTTGGGACATTTCCATTCTGCCCTGGAGAGTGACACAGAACATTTTCAAGGGGAGAAGAAGCACCAGCTGCCAGGGGGTGGAAAATAAGGAAAATGAAAAATTATACAATACTTAAATTCAAAACTATTAGTTTCAAAGTACAAACATATTTCCAAAATTTTAATCATGTATATCCTAAAAATATGATGTCTGGCAATATATTTTTTGACTAATGTTGACCTTAATTCAAAGCAGCATATAATGAATGATCTTTTAAACTTTAACACTTTAAAGGAGTACACAGAAATTATGTTTACCTTTAATGCATAAAAGAATAAGAGAAGAACAACATTATTTTGAGATCAGTTTTTCAGCTGTGCCAGCTCAGGATGTTTTTACATGATGACATTTGGAATGTCCTAAGACCACTCCTGACATTCACTGAAGATAAGTCAGAATATCTTTTGTTTCCAATATTGATAGACACACACACACACACACACACACACAAAAGAAGGAAGAAAACAGAAAGCCTAATCTATAGGGAAAACCAGAGTGACTTTTTTTTTGCTAAAGGAGCAGAAATTTCAGTCTATAGTTATAGTAAAGGTCATTTTGCAAAAAATTAAAACCCAAAAATTTACCCCACTGCAGTAGCTCAAAATGAGTAAAACTAGCAGAAGTCACATATTAATATAGCCTTAATAATATTTAAAAAATTCTCTTCCACCTTCTGGTTAATATGTGATTACAGACAAAGGTTGCTGATGTGAAACTGGAATATTTAAGAAATGGGAGGTGAAGATTAAAATAAAGAAACTAATAAAATTAATATTATTATGAAACATTATTTAAAGTTGTTAAGAGATCTGAAATCGTTAAAAATCGTGAAACAAAGATTATAGCACTTTGAATACAAATTAACCAAGAGTATTAATAAAATAAATAATGAAAATAACGAGAATTTTTAGTAATTCACACCAACCCCTGCCAGTGATACAAAATATAACACGGGCACATATGCAAATGGTTTATACAAATCTAGGTGGGGGGAAGCTTTCCGACTGTATGAACACGCATATCGATGCAATTTTTTTCCTGGAAGAGGATTATTCCTCGCTTTACTCGCCGGACTTTACAGCGCCCTAAACGGGCAACAGCGAGCCATGCTCCAGCGTCGGTGACGCAACGGGGAAAATGGGCGGGAACCCCGCTTCCTCTTTTTGCAGTCCTCAACCAGGTCGGACCAAACCCCATAAATATCGAGGAGCGGGCAGCGCTGCCGTACACCGACATCGTCGACAGCAGTGCGGCGCTCATCATGTCAGGTCGGGGCAAGGGCGGCAAGGGGCTCGGCAAGGGCGGCGC